TATTTAAGTAATAGATATAGAGAAATATATATCTGATGTACGAGATATATTAAGAATATCTCATTAAGACTACGTAGCGGAATAGATGGTGAATCAGGTATGATCGCTAATGGAAATGATTTTCTACTCTGAACAATTATTTTATTCTTTTGTATTGTAAATTGGAAATTTGCATTAAATAAAATGTTATTTAGCATATGACATAATTTTGGATTAGTAAGCATTTTGTATGTATTTAATTGGACCAAGTTAGAGAATGGATGTTTAGTACTGGACTGTTAGAACATATTCTCTAGAACAAAATTAGAAATAATGTTTAATATGCTGTCGTCTTAGTCTTCTGATTCTAGATGTTTAATATGAAGCTAAAACATTGGATTGTCTTGTGCTTTGATTCATTAAAAGGTGAGTTTTCATTATTGGAATAATATTCTCGTGTGAAGTTGGGCAAAGATATTTTGTGTTTGTGAAATATTAATTAATGAAAGAATCCATGTCTCGGTTTAACAAGAATTGATGAGTGCACTTAAGTAAGCTTTATAAGGTTTCATAAAGTGGTAATATTCACCCCTGCAGGTGGATATTGAATCCGACACATGAAAATGAGAGTTGAGCGACAATCTTAAAGTTATAGGTGATGTGATTTAAATAAATTGTCAGTAAGTTATTTAAATGACAGCATCTGTAATCTTAACGAGTGGGGAACAATTATTTTAATTGATGTGTTGTGGAATTGTTAAATAAAATAGATGGAGTTTCAGTCATGAGTTTTTTAGTGGAATAATTCAATGATTAATTATAAATAAAGAATATGTTGGTCTACATAGGTTTCTTATTTATAATTAGTAGCCTGATTTATTTTTATTCCTGCGGTCCCTGTAGTGGCCCGTAATTATTGTGGAAAAAGTTAAGGGTGTTATTAAATAATAGATAAATTATTTAGTTTTAAAATAATTGAATAATTTTTTAATTAAATAACATTTTTATTTAATTTATTTTAGATATCCTGAATATTAACAAAATATCTTCCTATCGAAGAAGAGTTTTTTTTTAATATAAAATTAGCATTATACCCTAAGAATAAAGAAGACGCACGTTATTCTACTTCTTGCCACTCAGAGAGTTCAAAAGGAGAATAGTTAGGTGATTCTATCGCAGAAGATCGTGGGTGACTCCAAGACTCGTGGAAAGAAGACCGGTGAGCGAGTTCTGCGCTTGCAAGAGGTCAAGTTTATTGATTTGTTCGATAAGTTTTTAGTTTGCCTCATATGGTTTTCGGGAAGATGAGTTGTTTTCCGCTTTATACCGCTCCCATCATTGGTATCAGAGCCATACGAAACTGTATGAGTGGTGGCTATTTTGGTCATGTTTTCATCGTGCGGGTATCTATAACTCTGTTTTTGAATTTGTTTGATTGGTTACATGGTATACAAGAAGCTTCAACGAGTTTTTTGAAGGAACAGCAAGCACAAAAGTGCAGTACCTGATACAGTTTTGTTTTTGAAAAACCCTGAATGGCCTCTTTAATGGCATGTAAACTGATATAATATATATATATATATAACTAATATATATATATATTATATTTTGGGTTTTGTTTCGATGAACGGAGAAGGGGCAAAAAAAAGACAAAAAAAAAAAGAAAAAAGAATCAGTTAAATGGAGTTGAAGGAAAAGGGGCAAGGGCCGGCTAGGGAGGTGTTCTTCGTGAAGAAGAAGCTGCTGTTTTCTGCCAAAATTTCTCCAGCGTCTGGTCCCTTCAATTTTTTTAAAATTTTTATATTTTTTTGAACCCCTGATCTTTAGTTTTTATTTTTTTTGACCCTGAACTCCTTTCTATTTTATTAATATTTTAACGCCTTGGACTTTAATTTTTTTAAGCCATTGTGAACCCAGAAAGTATCAAGTTATTTCCGTTTTTTGCCCCCTGGAAGTTATTTAAATCTAATAAAGTGAGCCTGATTGTTTCTGGGTTTTAATTTTAAAATTGCCGCTAGACTATTTCCGGTTTTTTGGGCAATTTTGGGCCTAATAGTTTCTGGTTTTATGCAAAAAGTTTGACCAAACAAGTGTTTTCTGAAATTTGCGAAATGGCCCAGGAATTTTTTTCTGGCTTTTGCAAAGATAAACCCCAGAATGTTTTAATTTTTTTTGCAATAAATAGGACCAAGAACATCCATAAATTTTTAACATTTTCTAAAAAAGGATCCAAAAATGTTAATTTTGATTTTGCAAAATTGTGCTTAAAAATATATATGGGATACAAATTTTGATTATAATTAATTTATAATTTTATTATATGAATTAATTTGTGAGTGGTTTTTTAAAATTACTTTCTAAGTTGTAATTATTTGGATTTCTTCCCCATCGGAAAGATGTCATGTTTTTAATGTATGAATTACTGAACTAGTCTTAATTTTCTGTATTGATTTAACCTCTCCATCTGAAGGTAAATTAATTAGTGACATGATCAGATGTAATATTTTCTCACACATTAATGTTATTTAGAGGCAATGTTATCCTCCCATCGAGTAAGTAATGATGCCGGTCTTAAGATCTAATTATACAATATGCAAAAACATGTGATTGGTTGGAATTCTGCGCCATCGAGGTTGCTTATTTCAAGAATGTTTGGTGGAATGGTGGGTATTTTTTTTTTTTTTTTGAATTGTGATATGCAATAGTTGTATATTTGCATTTATTCAATGTTTATTATTGATATGCTAATTTTGTTTAATGCATGATATAGAAATGGCATCATTCAGTCCCCTTGCAAACATCTTAACCCAAAATAAACTTGAGGGTCCAAACTATGTTGACTGGAAGAGGAATTTGGACATTTTGCTTACTGCTGAGGAGTATCAGTTTGTGCTTACTGAAGTTTGTCCTGAAAAACTCGGTGAGGGTGCCTCTGAGGAGGTCACCAGAGCTTACCAGAAATGGGTTAAAGCTGATGAGATGGCGCAATGTTACATTTTGGCTTCTGTGTCAAATGTTTTGCAACATCAGCATCAGAAGATGGACACAGCTTTTGACATGCTCGAAAATCTCAAGGAGATGTTTAGAGATCAAACTAGTGCAGCAAGGCAAAACGCACTGGGGGAGATTCTTACTTCCAAAATGGAGGAGGGAACTCCAGTTAGAACTCATGTCTTGAAGAAATGGAGGAGGGGACCCCAGTTAGAACTCATGTCTTGAAGATGATGAGTCTTCTGAATAACATGGAGGTTCTTGGTGCTGAGGTTGACAATGCTACACAGATAGAAATGATCTTGAACACTTTGCCAGCCAGTTTTCAGCAGTTTCGTTTGAATTTGAAAATATAAACATGAATAAGATGGATTTTCACTCTGTCTAAGTTGCTGAATTGAGCTGGTGCTGTGAGACATCATTAAGCCAAGGAGCTGCACCTGTTTGTGCTTGAGCTGTTGAGCGAGGTTCTTCTTCTGCCCAGAATAAGGGTAAGAAGAAGAAAAATGCTCACAAGGCTAAGCCTAAAACAAGTGGTGCATCTACTAGTGCAAGTGTTACTGTGAAAAAGCCTAAGGGTAAGTGTTTTCACTACAAGCAACCTGGGCACTGGAAGTCACAATGTCCAACATGGTTAGCCAAGAAGAAGCAAGGTATGTCTTTGTTTTATGTGCTGATAGTTGAAACTTGTTTAGCGGTGTTGACTATACTCCAATGGTGTGTAGATTCTGGAGCCACTAATCATGTCTGCAATTCATTGCAGGGGTTTCAGGTAACTCGTCAGCTAAATAAAGGAGATGTAAGAAGGAGATGTTAGCAACTTTTTCTGGGAGATGGGCACATAAGTTGCAAGTTCTAAGCTATAGGAACATGTTTCTTTGAATTTTGAGAATAATAGAACATTTGTTTTTGAAGGAGTTTTTTATGTACCTTCAATTAGAAGGAATTTAATTTCAGTTATCTAGTTTAGAGCAAGAATGGATATTCGGGTTTGTTTTAATTGAAATTTTATATGATGATTCTGTCGTTATTAATTTAGAAAACAAATGAATATGTTTTTCTGGCTTTCAATGATTGAATGAACCTTTTTATTTCTCAAAGTTTCACCTGACACTGCAAATTTCCTAATTCTGAAAGTTAATAACTTTGAATGTCATTGTTCCATTGAAAAGATAAACGTCCTATTGGAATTTAGTCATACCTATTTGTGGCATTTAACGGCTTGGTCATATTAATTTAGATAGCATTTCTACGGTTGGTCAAGGAGGACCATTGTGAGTTCAATTGAAAGTGGAGCACTACCAACCACTGTGAAGTCTTGTTTACGAAGTAAAATGACTAAGAGGCCTTTTCCTATTAAAGGGTAATAGACTAATGAATGTACTTGGAATTAATTCTTTCTGATTTGTGTTTGGTCCAATGATGTCGCAAAGCTAGGGTGGTTTTGAGTAATTTTTGTGACTTTGTCACAGATGATACTCAGATAGTGGATCATTTACCTGTTGTGCCGTTTGAGAAATTCAAAGAGTTCAAGGCAGAAATGGAGAAACGACATGGAAAATATATCAAGTCGTTACGGTCTGACCGTGGTGGCGAATACCTCTCTAGAGAATTCATTACTTATTTATCAGAATAAGGAATTACTTCACAGTTGTCTACACCTGGTATGCTACAACATAATGGTGTAGCAGAAAGAAGAAATAGGACGCTTATGGATATGGTTAGATCAATGATGAGTTATTCAGATTTGCCCATTTCGTTTTGGGGGTATGCCATAGAAACAACAACATATATTCTGAATTTGGTTCCATCTAAGTCAGTACCTAAAACTCCTACAGAACTGTGGACTGGGCGAACTGTGACTGGGCGCCAAGTCAAGACATGTTCCGGAGTGTGGGGTTTCACAGACCATGTGCTGAGGGAAAGCAAGACAAAGTTGGTGGAACTCATAACAGACTTATGCTTTCGAATGTACCCGGATATCCGATAGAGGAACGAAAGGTGGTTTATTTTATAGTTCTCAAGATAAAATGGTCATTGTTAGCACCAATGCACATTATCTTGAGGAAGACTATATTAAAAACCAGATTCCCAAAAGTCAATTAGCCTTGTATGAATTGAGAGGAGAAAATATATCAACTAGAACCTTTCCATTAGAACAACAACCTAAACCATCAATGGTTGGAGCTAACATTCCATTGCCTAGTTGTAGTGGAAGAAATGTTAGTCGACCGGTTCGATATACACTTTTGGGAGAAGCTTTTGATAGAATCCCTGAAGAAGTGAATATTGAACCTGTCTGTTACAATGAAGCACTACAAGATAAAGATGCTGATAAGTGGCTTGTAGCTATGAAATCTGAGATGGAGTCCATGTACTCTAATCAAGTCTGGGAACTTGTACTATTTCATTGCCTCCTGGTGATGACAGTTTTTTTTTGGGTTGGGAGGCTGGCATTCACACTTATGTAGTCCCCACAGTCCATGGACTTGCCCGTGGCAATTTTACAGCCACATACAAGAATGAAGGTGTAGATTTGCATGAAGCTACTGAGTTAGTATTATCGTCGTAGTGGGAGAATTAGGGATAGGTCGATATACACTTTGGGAGATAGGCTTAATGTTTTTGCATAGAATCGCCCTGTAAGCAAAGATGAAAATATTGAACCTGTCTGTTCACGATGAAGCACTACAAGATAAAGAGCTGATAAGTGGCTTGTAGCTAGAAAATCTGAGACTGGAGTCCATGTACTCTATGCAAGTCCTGGGAACTTGTAGAACCACCTGAAGGGGTTAAACCCATCGGATGCAAGTGGAATCTATAAGAAAAGAGGGGTATAGACGGTAAAAGTGCAAACTTAAGGCAAGGCTTGGTTGCGAAAAGGTTTACTACAGAAAAGAAGGGATCGATTAAGGAACACTTTTTTTGCCTCCGGTACCACTCATGCTAAAGTCTATAGAACCTCTTCTAAATCTCATTTGTCAGCTCAAAATTTATTGTATTATAAGAGATTGTGGCAAATGGATGTCAAGACAGCTTTCCTAAATGGAAGTTCTTGATGACGCATAATCATACATGAAGCAACCAGAAAGAGATTTCATAAAAACAATGTGACAAGTAAAATTTTGTTCGCAAATTTGTAATTTAGGGTTCTCTATTTGATGGAACAATGGACAAGAAAATTTGCTTTGCAAATTGAATAGGTCCATTTATGGGCTTAAACAAGCATCTAGGTCATGGAATACTTGTTTTGACCAAGCGATTAAAAGTTTTGGCTTTGATCAGTGTCATGATGAGTCTTGTGTGTATTAGAAATGGAATGGTAGTAAGGTTGTTTTTTGGTACTATATGTGGATGATATTCTGCTTATAGGGAATTGTGTAGGTATGTTGAATTCTGTCAAAGATTGGCTGTCCCAACGTTTTGATATGAAGGATTTGGGAGAGGCTGCTCATATTCTTAGGATTAAGCTTATGCGAGATCGCAAGAAAAGGATGATTGGCTTATCTCAAGCACTTTTTATTGATACCATTCTTGCTCGTTTCAGCATGCAGGATTCCAAGAAGGGTTTTCTTCCCTTCAGACATGGAATCACTCTATCTAAGGACCAATTACGTAGCCGATGTGGGATTCGCTTAAGGTGTTGTGCAAATAAAACTAAATAAAAACTAATTAAAGTAATTAAAACTACTAAAATTCCTAATAAAAACTATATTAAAAATACTATAAAAATAACACCTATCAACAATGTTGTGCACTATAACTGGTATCTGCTTTGCTGTTTGCATGGTTAGCAGATTTCAGTCTAACCCTGGGCGAAAACATTGGACTGCAGTTAAACATAGAATGAAGTACTTAAAAAGGACAAGAGATTATATGTTAGTCTACCAGTTAGGAGAATTTGTACCCGTTGGGAATATAGATTCAAAGTTTCAACGTGATAAGGACTCCCCGAAATCTACCTCAGGAAATGTGTCCTGGGAGGTAGAGCCATAAGTTGGAGGAGTATTAAGCAAACTTGTGTTGCTAACTTCACCATGGAAGCTGAATATGTGACAGCCTCTGAGGCAGCCAAAGAAGCAGTATAGCTTAGAAACTTCCTAATGGATCTAGGTGTGGTTTCATTAGTTCAATCACCTATTATACTTTGCTGTGATAATAGTGGGCAGTTGCAAACTCAAAGGAGCCACGAAGCCATAAAATGGCAAAACACATTGAGCGAAAGTATCACTTGATACAAGACATAGTTCAAAGTGGTGATGTGGTGGTGGCGAAGATTGCATCGGAAAATAACCTAGCTTATCCTTTTACAAAGAGCTTACTATTAAAGACTTTTAACAGTCATGTAGAAGGCATAGGAGTTAAAATAATATATGCATGGTTATGAGTCTAAGTGGGAGATCGATAGAGATATACGATAAACCATGCAAATATAATAGTATGTTTTCTTATGTTATTTCATTGAACAATTATTTCTATATATTTAATAGGAGATTTGCATTAAATGAATAGATTTTTCAACATATTTTATAATAATGGTGTTAATACTTTTTGTATGTATCTAACTGGAACAAGTAGGGAATGGTTGTTTTTTACTGACTATTAAAACATATTCTCTAGGACATTAGAAATAATATTTATATTCTCTAGGACATTAGAAATAATGTTTATCGTTCTTAATCTTGATTTATTTTAATATGAGCAAACATTGATTGTCTTGTGCTTTGATTCATTAAAGGGTGAGTTTCATTATTGGAATAATGTTCTCGGTGAATTGGGCAAAGATATATTGTGTTTGTGAAATATTAATTAATGATAGAATCCATGTCTCGGTTTAGAGATTGATGATGCACTTTAAGTAAGTTTATAAGGTTTCATAGTGTAAATCCTATAGGTGGATATTGAATACACATGAAATAAGTTGAGCGACAATCTTAAAGTTATATTGTGATTTAAATAAATTGTCAGTAAGTTATTTAAATGACAGCATCAAATTATTATGTTATGGAAAGTTAAATTCTGTGGAACATTATTTGTTATTATGTTGTTTGGAATTGTAAAATAAATAAGGATTTCAGTCATGAGTTTTTAGTGGAATAATAGTGGAATAATTCATGATTAATTATAATAAGAATATGTTGGTCTACATAGGTTATTATTATAATTAGTAGCCTGATTTATTTTATTCCTGAGGTCCCTGTAGTGCCCTAATTATTTGGAAAGTTAAGGGTGTATTAAATAATAGATAAATTATTCAGTTTTAAAATAATTGATAATTATTTTAATTAAATAATTTTTTATTTAATTTATTTTATATTAAAAAAAAATATCTTTCTATCGAAGAGAGTTTTTTTTAATATAAGATTTGAAAACCCTAAGAATAGAGAGACGCACGTTATTCTATTCTCTGCCACTCAGAGAGATAGTTAGGGATTGAGATTAGGTTAGGGATACTTGCAGAAGACGTGGGTGAACTCCAAGATCTGCTGGAAAGTAAAGACCGCGTGGAGCGATTTCTGCTCTTCAGAGGTCAGTTTACAAGAGGTCAGTTTATTGATTTGTTCGATAATATTTTTAGTTTGCCTCATATGGTTTCGAAGAGGGTTGTTTCCGCTTTATACCCGCTCCCATCAATAACATGCAGGCAACTCCCTTCAAACATAAATGAAAATGAAAGGGGTCTTATGCAGGCGTAAATATTATATATGAGTAAATGAACTATTTAAAAATAAATCAAGATTGCCGCGGAGGCCTGAAAGAAATGCAAAGCCAACATTTTTATAGTAGATAGAGGTGAGGGGGCTCTAGTAGATAGAGGTGAGGGGGCTCCCTTTTAAAAATATTTTAAAAAATAGGAAATTCATCGAATTCTTTCTAGAGATTCACATCCGAATAGTGCGAGTTGATGAAAGTTACTTCAAAAAAAAGAAAGTCAAATTGGGCTAGTTTCCCACTTCAAATAAAAAGCAACTTAATCTTGTATGAGTTGGCGATTAGAACATATATGGATAGAACTTATAGTAGGGTCTCGAAAAATAAGTAATTTCTGTTGGTCTCTTATACTTTTTTTAGGTTCATTGGGTTTTTTTTTTTTTTTTTTTGGTTGGAATTTCCAGTTATCTTGGCAAAAATTTGATGTCTTTATTTCCATCTCAGCAAATAATTTTTTTTCCACAAGAGATCATGATGTCCTTATATGGGATCGCTGGCTATTTATTAGTTCTTATTTGTGGTGCACAATTTTGTGGAATGTTGGTAGTGGTTATGATCGATTCGATAGAAAAGAAGGAATAGTGTGTATTTTTCACTGGGGATTTCCTGGAAAAAATCATCGCATCTTACTCCGATTCCTTATGAAAGATATTCAATCTATTAGAATAGAAGTTAAAGAGGGTATTTACGCTCGACGTGCCCTTTATATGGAAATTTGATGCCGAGGGGCCATTTCTTTGACTCATATGAGAATTTGACTCCACGAGAAATTGAGCAAAAAGTAGCCGAATTGGCCTATTTTTTGCATGTACTAATTGAAGTATTTTGAAATAAGCTGGAGAATGAACATTTTCTTAGTAGGAGTGAAGAAATCCAAGAGTCTTCTTTTTTTTTCTATAGCATAACTTAACTGAAAATTCTTCACAATGATGATGAACCAAAGAAGATGTATATTATATATACAGAACAATTAGAAAACGAAATTTTTTATCTGCAAATTTTTTTATGTGTATGTAAATTCACTAAATTCAGTAACAAAACAAGAAAGAAATCTAAATAATAAACCCATCTCATAGAGCAAAACAAAGCATTTTGGAATAAAAAAATATAGAATAAAGAAATTCTCTTTTTATTTTCAACATTTGAAATTGATACTGGATAGATCATATCTTGTAAATTCTCTCTCCTTTCTTTTGTCAATCTACGTTTCTTTTTATCTTTTTTTTTTTTTTTTTTTTCTTTTTTTTTTTTTTTTGTTCTCCTTATTTGTATACTCTTCTTTTTATCTTTAGGCTATTTTTTTTTATATTCTTTCAAAATTCAAGGACTAAGCATTGACTCACAAAAAAAATAGGGAATAGATTCAAAAGTTTGAAGCCTTGTAATAGAACTTATGCTTGATAGAAATATTAGATCATATAGAATCGATAAATGGAGTGGGTTTATTAAAAATTCACAGACAAAAAAATGAAAAGAAAAGCATTTATTCCCCTTCTATATCTTACATCTATTGTTTTTTTACCCTGGTGGATCTCTTTTTTTCTTTTTTATTTAATAAAAGTTTTGAATCTTGGGTTATTAATTGGTGTAATACTAGTAAATCCGAAACTTTTTTAAAAAATGAATATCCAAGAAAAAAAGTATTCTAGAAAAATTTCATAAGAATATAAAAAATTCATAGAATTAGAGGAACTCGTTCACTTGGACGAAATGATAAGAATACCCGAAAACACATCTATAAGGGTTTCGTACCGGAATCCACAAAGAAACAATCTGATTGATCAAGATGCACAATGAAGATCGTTTCCATATGATTTTACACTTCTCGACAAATATAATCCGTTTCATTATTCTAAGTGGGTATTCTATTCTAAGTAATGAAGAACTTATTGTTCTTAATTCGTGGGTTTAAGAACTTATTATTCTTCATCTTCATCATCATCATCATCTTCTTCTTCTTCTTCTTCTTCTTGATCTTCGTCTTCTGAGGTACCCATGATGATTTGATCTTCTTTCTCTTCATCATCATTGCACCTATTTCAAATAAGTTTTCACTTTCATCATCCAACTGAGGTACCCATGATGATTTGATCTTCTTTCTCTTCATCATCTGATGCACCTATTTCAACATAAGTTTCACTTTCATCATCCAATCTATCCATTAAATCTTTGACAACTTGCATCGATTGCCTATCGACCTCAACTTCTTGAAATAGCTCAGTTATTTTAAGTAAAGCAGATTGTTTGGTTACAACTTCATGAACAACTACTCTAGGCTTGATTTTGCATACCGTCATCCAATTGCAATGATCTCGTTTTAATTATGGACATGGAACATAGTACAAGCTGCGTAGAACATAGTACACTTGCGCAGCTTGCATGAGCAACACAAAAGATTCGTACTTTGTATATCTTCTTCATGATTAATATCTACAAGATTATACTTAGGATGAACCTTCATACCAACATTTGGCATAGGATCACACCTTTCACATTTGAATGAGATTGTGCACTTGATTGGTAGGCATGGACATTCTAACTCCAAAACCTCAACAAATTTTCCATAAAAATCATTTGACTCGTCACTGTAGTTTGGTCCCTTTATGAAAATACCACTGTTCATTGCCTTTCTATTTATAAAGGGTAAATTATGTAATTGTATTAGTCCTAAATCAACCTTAAAACAAACCAAAAGTCCTGTTTCATTTACATTTGGTTCGAACCTAGCACATTCAGAAATGTCTCTATTAAGTAGTCAATATGAAACAACTTTTTACACTATGGACCAATTGAAATTTTGGCAGCATCTCCCCATAGTTCTCCAAATGCACATTGCGGCTTGATTAATTCCATAATAGCATCTAGATAACATAAAAAGGAGATACAACAGAAATTACAGATAAGCGCATATGTATAAGATTGTCGTTTCATTCTCTGACTATTGACAGACATTTCCAAACTGTCCTACTTGGACAATTCAGGTATTCTATTCCACATGGATGAGAAATACACTGAACGTGCAACTAAAGTTGACTGTATATACGTAAACTTACTATAATATCAGTAAGTGTATGATTTCGGCTCAGTTTTTTAAAAAATTTCGGCAGCACTTCAGTATAAAATAATCAAATTTCAAGTCAAAACACACAACATAAACACTTCTATATCATACAATAACATTCTCCAAAGTCAAAATGGCCACTACTAGGCCTCCAACTCAAACGCATCATTCATGTGATTTCCACTCTAATGAAAACACAAATCAACATAAAGTAATTTCACACGCATCAATTTCAAAGTAAAGGCATAAACTTTAATAGTAAATGCATTGATTTATTTAATTTTCACAAAAATTAAACCATACAATTTATAAAAAAATTTCGGCAGCACTTCGGCATAAAATAATCAAATCTCAAGTCAAAACACATAACATAAACATTTCTATATCATCCAACAACATTCTCCAAAGTCAAAATGGTCACTACTAGGCCTCCAACTCAAACGTATCATTCATATGATTTCCTCAAATGATAACATAAATCAACATAAAGTAATTTCAAACGCATCAATTTCAAAGTAAACGCATAAACTTTAACGGTAAATGCATTGATTTATTTATTTTTTCACAAAAATTAAACTATACAATTGATAAAAAGAACACAATAACTCAAATTA